ATCTGAAATCTCTTCCCTATGCCTGTACATCAAGCACCTTAGCTGCAAAGCCATCTTCCCAGCCCGCATGTCAAAGATCAGTTGTTTGGAGGGAGACAGACACAAGGCGGGCACATGGTGAAGAGCCCAGAGAGCCTGATGTTGCTGATGCATGGAGAGAGGGCTCCTTCAGCCCATGAGACTGAGCCATGAAAGAGGAAAGGGGCGCCTCCTGATGCCAGCATCTGGATCTGTTGGTGTGGAAACAGGAAAAACACACAAACAACAATGATAACAATGAACCAAGACCAAGCTAGGCAGTCCTGCAGCACACCTTTAACCCCAGTGCTCAGGAGGCAGAGGCAGGTTGATCTCTGTGAGTTCAAGGTCAACCTGGTCTACAGAACAAGTTCCAGTATGTTCAGGCCTACATAGGGAAACCCTGTCTTCATAAACAAACAAAAATAAGAACAAAACCATAACAAGAAAACAAGACCAATCCATACATTAGCAAGAGCCCTGTCTCATCCTTTGTCGGATGTCTTCCTGCATCCATGAGGCACAAGGCCATGTCTGAGGCCAAATGGGACACTACAGAAAAGAACCAGGCGGTATTGTTGTTTGTCTGTTAGCTTTCTCCCCAGAGCTCCTCCTGCTGCAGCCTTCATCCTCTTGTACAGCATCCTGGCCTTGGGGGTTGCTCTGGGCCTGTTGATAAAGCTGGGAGATGATGGTTGATGTGGACCGGGGAGAAATCGCAGGGAGGGGTGGAAGAGAATTACCAGTTGCAGTGGGCAGTAGGCAGGCCCACCTGTGCTACTGCTTTGAATGAAATGCTTCTTGAATGATCAGCATCTACAGTCTCAGGCAAAGGCAAGACAGTGAAGGGGATGTAGGGAGAGGAAGGCAGGGATGCCAGGACAATTATCTCATATTTGACGGCTCCAGGAGAGTTAGTGTTATTAGCAAAGACAACCTCAAGCTTTCGCAGTTACCTAGACAACTGTGGTTCCTCCACATCAGCCATCTCTGAGGCACAGACAACAGCCCGTCACATCTGGCTCAGTTGAGTGAACTCCGGAATTAAGCTTTAAGGTTTTGTGTAGGCCAGGCTGGTCTTGAACCTTGATCTTCCCACCTCCACTTTACAGGAGCCGGGATTGAAGGCTTGTACCACCATGCCTGTTTTTATGTAGTCCAGGGGCTAGAACTCAGGGCCTCAAGCTTGTCTTTGCGCTCTTCTCTCTCTCTCTCTCTCTCTCTCTCTCTCTCTCTCTCTCTCTCTCTCT